AAGGCAAGAGACACCAAGGACACCACCAGCATGAAGATGATGAAGATGGTTTTCTCTGTGGGGCGAGAGAGGAAGCAGTCCACTTGATGTGGGCAGGGATCTCTTCTGCAAGTGTAGACAGCACTCAAGCTGAATCCATAGATGTACCACTGGATCAGCAAGAAGGCCACCTCGAAGACACACTTGAAGAAGATACTGATGATGTAGGTGATCTTCAGACTTCTTTCCATTTTCACTTGATCATTCTCCGTAATGTCATACTTGTCCTCTATTTCAATATCCTTCTTCTGCTTTTCTACCTTGTGCTCATCAATTTCGTCAACTTTCTTGTTCGGTTTCTCTTCTTTGTGCATCACATAGAACACATGAGCCAGGTACAAAAGTGGGGGTGTGGACACAAATATGATCTGCAGGACCCAGAAGCGCACATGAGAGATTGGGAAAGACTTGTCGTAGCAGACGTTTTGACAACCAGGTTGTTGGGTGTTACACCTAAAGGCAGACTGCTCATCACCCCAAACTGACTCGATTGCTGTCTTCAGTATCAGGATTCGAAAAATGAAGACAACATACAACCACACCTTCCCTCCAGAATTGGAGTGGCTTTCGACCTTGTCAAGGAGTTTCCTTAAGAAACTCCAGTCAGCCATGATGCCTGGACACCTTCTGAAAAAAACCAAGAGGCAACTCAATGAGTATAATTACAAATTACCAGCTTAAGAGACGGTGTCTTTTTTTTTCAGCTGACAGCTAAAATATTACAAATTGTTTCCTTTCTAGCCTCCATCAAAAACAAAACAAAAACAAAAGCCAAGTGTAAGCTCTTCCAATCACATTTCCACTCCCAGAGTCTCATACTTATTTATTTATTTATTTTGAGATAAAGTTTGATCTGAGAAGCAACAGATTCTATGTACASAGGCTGAACTGCCATCTTAACTTGCAGAAGATGTATTACTTGCTCAACCACCAAACYGTCAAGTGACCTGAGAAGCTGTCTGTGCTAAGTGCCTCTGCTTATTTGATTGATAAATAAGGACAGTTGTTGCCTCATAGGCTTGTGTCTGGATGCATGCCTAAGCAAAATGCTGATGTGTTTTTCAAAATATAGGTACCTAAGAACTCAGGCAAGAACACCCAGGAACACACACACACACACACACACACACACGCACAACCTAATCCCCAAACTTTGATGCTAGGATGAATCATTTTATTCCTAATTTTACTCTGCACTGTCTCTTGATGGTACAATAAGAGTAATTAGTGCATAGTCTGTATCATGGTTATTTATACTTTTTTCTCTCCTTATGCAGTAACATATATTTCAAGTCTGTCTTTTACCAAAAAAAAATGTTATGCTGAAATACACCATTTGGACAGTATCTCATTATAAACAGGAACCTACTTTCAAAAACAAAAACTAAATGTGCATGACATTTCTAGGTAAAAGTTCAATTTGGCCAGGCATTGTGGTATCGTGGTACATGCCTGTAATTCCAGTGACTTGGGAGGCTGAGGCAGGAGGATCTCAAACTTGAAGCCAGCCTCAGTAACTAAGCAAAGTTCTAAAACTTTGGGATGTGAGATAGAGATAAAGTAACTTTGGGTTCAACCCTAAATATCAGAAAAAAAAATCAATCTGTCAGTTTGTCTCCATACCTTATAGACTGTGAAGTGAATAAAGAGAAAGCTGAATGGCTGTAAGATAAGCCACTTGTACAGTCAGAAGACTTATCATCCTTAAGTCAAAGCCCTTTAATACATTGCAATGGCATTTAAATTATATAAATATAAATATCACACCTGAAATATCAGCTACTCAGGAGGCTGAGGTGGGAGGACCTACAATTTGAAACCAGCCTGGTCAGCATAGCAAGAACCCATTTCAAAAAACAAACAAAAAAGATATAAGCATAGTAGACAGTAAGACTGCACTAAAGCCAGAAAAGTTTCCATGCTTTGATATGGCCAATCTAACAAGTGCTGAAACATGAGAAAATATGACATGTGTCAGGCTACCACAGAGAAGATTGGTTAATTTTCAGGAGAGTAGTGATTGGAGGGTTTAGAAGTGAATAAAGTAGACAAATATTATTTAATAATAAAAAACAAGCAAAACAAAGACATTCCAAGCATTCAGTAATAATGAATTGACTAGTGCAACTAAAGTAGAATTATGTAGGCTTCTTACAAATGTGTTCACTATCTGAATATAAAGGGGGTTTCTCATCTGGTTTTGAACTTGGAGCCATATTCTCCTGGTAAGAAGTAAATGAAATACAGGGGTGTTTTCCCCTCACCATCCAATATTACATTTCTTTCTAATGCTTGTATGTCATAGCTATGGAGATCATGAAAAAATGAAATGGAAATCTGAAAATCTGACACAGGGTTTCCTGGATGAAACAAAGAGGAGATGGTTGATCCATAAAGCCAAAGTGTATACCAGCTAGTAGTAGATGGGTATCTGATAATATGACAGCCCAGGGATTGGTACACAGATGAGGAAATATAAGTGCAAGGTGGGCGGGCAGGTTACAGAAATAATGCTTTCCCAATGATCATAAAAGAGGGAGCTTTCCTTCTACTTTTAGGAAGGGCCATTTTGTATTCTGATGTGGCAAACCAGAGAGTGAAATTCATGTACAAAGAGTAGTCAGACAAGAACAAAGGCTTGTCAGGTCGACAAAGGGTTAAACAGCCAAGGGAAGGCTTGAAGTGAGAGGAGTAATTTAATCTTGATGGTCAGATTATGGTGAGAGAATGTAAAAGAAAAAGCCTACAATTTAGCAGAAAATACTAGACTGGGAGTGAAGAAGTACAGGCCACGAGGGTCAAACAAACACAACAGAATTTTTGGAGCCATATCAATAGACAGTTTCTATGTGATGATGTGTAAATTGGCTCTAATTCTGTTTGTAAAGAATTACAATATTTTGCCAGTGTCATCTGCTTTTGTTCAGATATTATAATTCTTGGGGGGGAAATCACAAAAACAATTAAGTGTAAAATGATAAGCTGTTTGCAAACATCACATTCGTAGAACAATAGATCTCAAGGCAAACTAACATTGTTAGAAATGCAGCTGGGCACAACAGAAGTTTTCATTTTAGCAGTATCTCATCATTATTCAAAGTAAAATGATTGTGTAGATGCCTGTGGCAGTTTACTCTTGAGGTTTTTCACATTCTATGGAAAATGAAATTTGACTTTCACATAATTCTGAGATTCCACAATGCTACAGTGTGTGAACTGGTTCACGGGGTAGTTGTTCCTTTAAAATACACCAGCAATTTAATTGAAAAATTGTCTTTTCCTTAAACACCAGACAGTAGTCATTTGAATTATAGTCATTCATATGAATAAGATACGAATTATTCAATTGGACACCTTGTATTCTGTAACATGTAGACACCTGTCATTACCACTATCATAGAAACCATCTAATATTTCATGTGATGGTTCATCTTGCAACTCCCAAGGAGGCAACAAAAACAGCAAGCTTTTTAATGGTAGCTGTTCACTTGGCCAGGAACCAAGTATTCTTTCAACTAATTCCATTCCCTAACCCTGATTTAATATTTTAATTTTTCCAAGTCTTAGTTGAAACATTAATTTTCTTTCATTATAAGGGAAAAGTATGCTTATGTTTACAGAAGCCCTGGCACTGGTATATTGCAAGAATATTCACCAGGAGGCACACCATTCCTTATTTCATTCAGGAGTCTGGACAGCTGAACATATCCTATATATTCATGCCTATACCTCTGCATTCCTATGATGCAGTTTTATTTGTAGATCATGATCTAAGGGGTTGTGTACAGTTCTCATTAGGAGATCTCTTTTTAAGATGGGAATCTTAATAAGGTTATCAGGCTATTCTTGAACTTCGGATTCTGCTTCAGCTTCAGGTATAGTTGAGCTGGATTTACAGTTGCGGCCACCACCCTTAGCTAGTAGTAGCAGATTCTTGACATCAGCTGGATAACACCATGCCTTCTGTATRTCATGTTAGGTCGCATTTTCATTTGCTCTTCATGGCCCCATAGACCAGCTAGCTGCTCAAAGCCACAGTCACCCAGTGTGACCTCCCTAAGGACCTTGTCCCTTCACAGTGGTTTCTGAACTGCATGACAATCATTTGGCACATAACATTCCTGGCCCTCACCAGTTGGATGAAGCTAGACTTCTGGAGGGTGGGGCCTGGGAWWTYAGCTTTTAATTTTTTGTTATTTTTTTGAACAAATGTCCCAAGTGATTCTGAAGTAAGATTATAGAGAAGCAAAGAGTGCTTACTTGCATTTTATTTTATGTTTTTTCCTATTCAAAATATTTAAGAGTGAGGGAAATTTCAGAGAAGCAGAACAGACAGTGCATCTAACAATTCAAAGGGGTTGAGCACTAATATTAGTTGTTCTCTGGGCAGTGGGTGCTGAAGTTACTCTTGGCACCAGGGCTCCTGGTCACTCCCTGCATCTTCATCTGCCACTCACTGAGAGCACAGTGATTCAATCTCTTTAATCCAAAGGAAATTTCTTAAAAATAAAGCAATCCTTAGCAAGAAGAATGAAGCAGGTGGCATCACTATACCAGAACTTAAACTATACTATAGAGCAATAGTAACAAAAACAGCATGGTATTGGCACCAAAACAGACTGGTAAACCAATGGTACAAAATAGAGAACACAGAGACTAATTCACACAATTACAGTTATCTTATATTAGACAAAGGCACCAAAAACATCCATTGGAGAAAAGATAGCTTCTTTAACAAATGGTGCAGGGAAAACTGGAAATCCACATGCAACAAAATGAAATTAATTCCCACATCTCTCACCATGTAAAAAACTCAAATCAAAGTGTATCTAGGACCTAAGAATTAAACCAGGCATCCTGTATCTAATAGAAGAAAAAGTAGGGYCAAATGTTCATCATATCAGATTAGACCCCTATTTCCTTAATAAGACTCCTATAGTGCAAGAATTAAAATCAAGAATCAATAAATGGGATGGATTCAAACTAAAATGCTTCTCAGCAAAAGAAACAATGAGTGAGGTGAATAGAAAGTCTACAACTTGGGAGCAAATATTTACCACTTGAAAATCAGATAGAGCACGAATCTCTAAGGTATATAAAGAACTCAAAAAGCTAAACAATCAAAAAAACAAATAAATTTTAAAAAGTTCATTATCTCTATCAATTAGAGAAAAACAAATCAAAAGTACTCCTTCCTTCCTTCCTTCCTTCCTTCCTTCCTTCCTTCCTTCCTTCCTTCCTTCCTTCTTTTCTTCCATCTAGGGGATTGGAGCCTGGGACACTTTATCACTTAGCTTTATCCCCACTTTTTAATATTTTTGAGATAGGGTCCTATTAGGTTGTTGAGGGTGGCCTCAGACTTAAGATCCTCCTACCTCAGCCTCCAGAGCCATTGGGATTGTAGGCATGGGCTTCTGCAACCAGATTTATGTGTTTCTAATATATTAAAATAAAAATTCTTAGGCCTGAAACCCTCCAAGGTAAACTCTCCTAATGCTTTTCTTTTAGCTTTGCTATTAAGGGCTCCTTGTCTCTGGTAGTAAATGTCTCTCTGACTATCTCTCTTCACTTACACCACAGCAGCTATTCCATTTGATTATATTCATATGTA